CTGTGTGGGGAGTACACATGTTTACTCGTTTGCTTAGGTACCTGTATACAAACATGTGCAGAAGATAAAAGTCCATGTCAATTGTCTTCCTCTACTTTTTTTGAGACAAGTTCCTTCATTGAACTTGGAGCTCACCAGTCAGCTAGAGAAGCTGGCTAGCAAGCCCTAGGGACCTGTCTCTGCCTCCCCAGTGCTGGGATTACATATTCTGTATGTTTATGTGTGTGCCACGGGACCCAAACAGAGATTCTCATGCTTGTGAGGTAGGCATGTTTCTGACAGAGATACCTCTCCAGGCCCCTAACATCACTTTAAATGCATAAACTAGAACGTTAATTTGGGATAATAGACATCCCATATCAATTTAAGTGTGCTTCCTGGATGTGGATTTAGTCTGAGTGATTGGGTTGATTGAGTTCAATCTGACAAGGCCTCAGTCCCTGTAGATGCTTTCTCAATTGGCAGCAAGTCAAGACCCCTGAATTTTCAAGTAATAACCTGAATGGCTGGCAGAGATGTACTTGTGTAGGCTTAAGTAGTGTTCAGCAGTTGAGCAGACTGAATTCAAGGTGCTTTCTAACCTGAGACCCCTGATTCTAATCTTTGTTATTAAGTTCCCACCAGGCCCTCGGCAGGCTTTTGGCAGGCAAGCGTTAAGACGTGGGAAGGGAAGGGTGTTCTATGAAGGGACAGCTGACCATCTGGGACCATTTGTAGCCAGAGCATCTGGCAGTGGCTGCCTGTTTAACAGAGTGATGTGTCCAGAGGGCAGTAGGTTAAGGGAACCCCGTTTGTGCCTTGCCTGATGAATGCCGGCTTTCGCAGAGCCACAGCTTGGGAAGGATGGTCCGAGTAGCCCCAGCTTTGCTAAGTGGCCTTGGAAATGAATTCACATGCTTCTACTTGCTGATCGAGTATCGTTTTATATAACAAACTGCTTTCTCAAAATTTCATTTTCACACTAACCTGCTCTGATGCCTTTAGAACCCATTCCCCCAGCTTTCATTTCTGGTAATTAAGTTTTCAATTTAAAAAGTATGTCATTGGGACATGGTCTCCCTAGAAATAGGCATAGTTCTTTGTTCTAAAAGACAGAAAAGTAAATGGATTTATACTTTTAGTGTTTTTTTTTTAAATTGACATGACAAAAGATATGAGAGGTTCAATTCCCTTAAAACAGGAAATATGCAGTCAAATGCTATTTAATTGGCTGCTTGTACAATGTTCCCATAAAGACCCGGTCAATTGAATTTAATTGGGTCTTTTAGTGGGAGATATTTTAAATCATTTAACTCCAGTACCTCAAAGCTCAGTTCCTTAAGATGTGGAGTACTTTGTCTGGGTGGTTGAAGAAATAAATTCTTGTGTGTGTGTGTGTGTGTGTGTGTGTATACATGCAATGTATAAAATATATAATTATAATAGCATGTTATATATAATGGTATAAAATATAATAGTTTAATATAATGTACAATGGCTTTATATGTACAAGGCCTGGGGTCCAAGCCCCAGCATTTAAAAATAGAGTGTGATATGATTTTTGATGGCACAAAGGAAGTATTTAGTGCTTCCACTTTGCACAGGTTTGACTTTAGAATGCACTTTGCTTTCCTGGGATCTGGCTTATGTTGTGGGGGAGAGGAAGCTCTTAGCTTGTGATGTAGTCGTTTGTGAGACTCGTCTAAGTGCTGTGCCGAGGG